AGAGCCAATCAGGGGTGTGGTTTTAGTGACGTAAGAGGTCACTAGAAGTCAGAAAAACAGTGGGATGTTTTGGAACAGACAGGAAAATGTTTTTGAAACAGACAGAGAAATGTTTAGGCGAGATGGGAGGAAACAGGTGCCAGCTTCTCTATTTACGTCTGAGAGGATTTAAAAACATGACAGTTCGTTCCAACAAACTTGTTTGCGTTTGTCTCCGACTCTTGACCGACATCACAACCTGCTCATTTCAGACAGAAGATCAAGAAAATGAATAATTACTCTGTAACAGACATTAACTAGATTTCTACTTTGAATGAGGATTAAAAATCATTAATACTGTTTCACAGTTGATTTAAAATAAGTAGTTCACTTCAACATTTAAAAATGATTTGATCTAAACACACTTTTGATTATCAAGATATTGTAAAATAGTAATGATAATAAAAAAGAGAGTGTTCTTTCAATTGATCAGTGCAGGACACACTTAGAAAGTCTCTGGATGAACTTAATTTTGTGTTTCTGGACTCAAATCAATGAAATAACAGTTCTTGTCCCAGGAAGGCCCTCAGGGCCAGATTTTGACCTGAGGCTTAGTTCACTACATTTGTCTTACAAAAGTGAAAGCTCAGAACTTAAAAAAAAGGGTTCTGTGGAAAGATTATGAACAATGAACATCAAATCTGTTGCAGATAGTTCTTCAAATTACCTCAGTTTGGAGTAGATTTCTGCTACTCGCCTCTTTTATACACGGGCCCCACTGTTGTGGGAGTTTTTACCTCCACAAGTTATTTTTTCCCCCCAGGTTATTGAGCTTAAATAGAAAAAAATATGCAGAATTTAGATGCAAAATTAAACGAACTCAGACTATTCTCGGTCAAACAAGGTAGCTAATGCTGTATAGCTAATACTTCCAGACACATATACTAAATGGTGTTCAAACCTGTTCCAAAGTTTGACTTTTAATTTCAAATTTTAACTTAAACAATGAGTTTTTTTAGACTGAAGTTGATGTAAATGAATTACAAAAATGACTAACGGTACTGCAGCTCCTGCTTTGGTTATACAGGGATAGCCCTTAAAGCAAAATGCATTAAAGCTCAAAGTCATCAGCTTTCTTCAAATCCACAAAACAAAGTCCGAGCCAAACTTCCATCACCCCATTAGCATCTCTGCAAGAGTAAAAATCTGATCCACTGTGCCACAATCCAACCAAAGCTCCTGAATTCAATAATCATGGTTCAACAAATGGAGAAACTTTACCACAGAGGATGAGAAGTGTGATCTCTGGATATCTGGAACACTCTCTGGGACTCTCTGAGGACTTTTGTTTTTCATAATCAGAAGTTATTATGTTAGAGCAAACCCATGTGCAGCCTGTACATTTCAAATGTTAATTTAAATGCTGTAGTTGATGTAGTTTTGTCATTAGGAATGAAAGAAAAGTGAAAAAGTGCAGTGAGGATTGTGTTTTGTTCCCAAAATAACCTGAAATGATGCTTAATGTGTTTGATTTAGAGCCCCCTGACTTGTGACATGTTCAGTGGCACTTCCTTACATTTGATAACAGCCTTTCTATTGTAACATTAATCATACTTTATCTCCGTCACACACACAATTATTCTGCAGGCGAACAAAACACATCGATTCAAACAGAAGGGATGATTGATTTCCGAAATGTGCAGCGGCTGCGTTATTCATTTGCGCACTTATAAATAAAAATCACAAAAATATAAATGAAGTGTTTTCATCTAACATCATGTTGTCTGAAAACACATTTGCGCCTCAGCCATACTGGTTATTTTTTTTCCTTCCACCCACAGCTCGGCGACTCTATGGCCCGGAGGTATGAATGAGCGTCTGCACTACTGAGCTGAAGCCAGAAACGACTTTCCCCTCTTCATGCCAGTGCATGCTGGGATAATCTAGAGCCCCCCATGACCCTGAGAAGAAATTAGTGGGTGGAGAGAAAAGAAAAGAACTGGGAACAAAGAACACTGTGTCTTTTTTCACTTGACTTCCACTGATTGTCCTGCTGCTCTGTCACCAACACCATAAACCTACTGAAATTTGTTTATTATTCTTAAAAAAGCTCGAATATTGAGGCTTGATGGATTATGCCTCAAAGCACATTACCACAAGGAGCTTGAGTTGTGGTTAAATAAAGCTATGCACCTCCTGTCAAAGCCATGACTCTTCTTCTCATTGAGATCGTCCATGTCTCTGTCCTGCATCTGAGGTAAAGATCAGCTTTGACAAGGACGCACTGTGGAGCTGAGATAATTGTGCTGAGCGTGCCCTTGTTCTGCACTCAGCCTTGATATTTGGAAGGCAATTAATTAGATTAGAGAGGATAATCAATACAGCCACCTTATGCAACCCTGGGACTCCGTTCTCTCGAGAAAAAGGAAATCTTCTTGTCACAACCTGATGGCTCCAACATGTTGATCCCAATACGTATATATATATATATATATATATATATATATATATATATATATATATTTTGTACAAGCATTCGCACTACTCTTACTATTGTTGATGTTTCCTTACATAGGTTTCATTTCATACCAAACACTGTTCTCTTGGAACATCTGATTACTTTCTCTACTCGTCTCTTTTGGTGCTACTTACGGCTTTTAGCATTTTTTTTGTTTGTTGTTGCTAATTTAGAATTTTAGCTAACATTTAGCTACTTTTAGGTTGCAGCTACCATTCTCCTACAATTACCTATAGCCTTTTGATACTTATAGCATTTAGCCAAGTGTTTGCTGCTTTTTACTTATAGTTAATATTTTGCTGTTTTAGCATATTGCTACTTGTTGCTTTTAGCAAGTCTTTTGGTTGTTTTATCCTCTTGCTACCGTTTGCTACTTTTAGCTTTTAGCTGTTGTATAGCTGTCTTTAGATTTTTTTAGCTAGTGTTTTGTTACTTTAACTTTTAATTTATTTAGCTACATTTAGCTTCTCGCTTTCATTTGGTATCCTTTAGCTTTTAGTTAGTATTTTTGCTACTTTTAGAAAGTGTTTTGTTGCTTTGAATTTTTGGATAGCATTCATTTTCTTTTCGCTTTTAGCTATGGGTTCTGCTTATAGCTTTAGCATTTATTTTCTTTTAGCTTTTAGCTAGTGTTCTGCTTCTAGTTTTACAATTAGGATTAAGCTTTTCAGCAATTTGTAGCAGACATTGAGCATGCAGCGCTTGTGCTGCCTTTCACAGAAAATGAAAGTTCTCTCGTTTCTTTTTACAATCCAGTGCGTGCCTTCCACTCTACTAAGAATTGCATTTAGCAATTTGAAAATGTTATGCTTTTTTGTTCTTTTCATTACAAGTGCACGGAAAAGAACATTTAAAGCTCCCACAGACACTTTCCCTAACAGCAGATGTGATGGGTCTTTTCCTCATAGATCAAGCTGATGACAGAGCAGCAGAGTGAGATCATGTCCACCTGTCCTCAACCATTAATGCTACATGTGTCTCCTGTGGAATACATAACAAGGATCGTTGTGTTATATCCAGATATTGTTAATGATTTTATTTTTTAAAAAGTGCAGCTTCAATCAGATGCTGCAGTAAAATTTAAAGACATCCCTCCATTGTCAACAGCAAACTTCTGATACTGTTTGGGACTTGTGTATAACAATTATCTGTTGTTTTGCAGAATATAACTGTATTTGGTTAAAAACCAAGAAGCCTTCCCCCCCAAACAGTCATGTTGTCAGAGGACCTCCTCACATATGAGTCAATATGTTCATATGGTTTAGAGAGCTTTTGCTGCTGCTTTTTGTCATTTAATAGGTAAATAAATTACTTTATCTAATCATATTTTCATATAGTCATTGCTGGTAGTAAAAGAAGGATGGTGTTTTCATGCCAGGTTTGTCTGTATTGGAGAATATTCTAACATCAACAACAAAAAACACACTAAAAAATAAAGGTGCCAAGATGGAAAAAGATAATTCAAGACGAATCATTAATTGGCAATAGCTTTGTGTTAGCAAAATATTTCATGAACGACAGAGCTGGATATAATTACTCAAATAAAATAACACCTTGTTGCGTTTTAGCCATTTTTTGGTTAAATAGTTGTCAGATTCATGGACACAGAGCTAACATTTGATGTGGTAGTAGCTGAGAGTCACCAACACATCCTCCAAGCGTATTTCACAAGCCCTCCGAGGTCACGTGAGATCACACATAATGATCCGCAAGGCTTGACTGAGGCATAAAAGGCAGCGGGCGATATGCATTCTCTCTAGAAACATATTTTAACCGTGTGACTTTTTTTTTTTTAGGTTTATGGATTTTGTTCCCACTGTGCAAATGATGCGTTTAATGAGTTGAGTGTCGTCAGTGCGCATGGCACAAGTTGTCCGCTTCTGCCCGGGAGAGGAAATGTAAATCCTGTCATGTGAAGAAGACGCACGGGGGAATACTCCTCTTTCTCTGCCAACTGCACACATTTACAGCGAGGAGTGATCTCACCGCAACATGCGGCTGCAGCTCCGCTCCCTCCAGGACAAGAACAACCGGGGATGTGTCACTTTATCTGAGAGTGGGATTATTCGCGCAAACCTGTCATTTTGTTGACTTTTGAGCATCATTTGGAGAGGATAGATTTTGGCGCAGGACACCTGGAGGAATCTGCTGCTTTCTTTCTTTTTTTTTTTTTTTTTTTTGGGCACGAAGACGCGCGTCCTGTTGGATTTAAGCTGCAGTCCACTCCACACCAACAGCAGTGCCACAACTGCAAGTGAATGTTATGAAACATCCCCGCAGCTTTTATCAGACTTGGAGCGAGTCTGCTGTTTCTGACCTTCGGGAGCAAACTGTCACTTCTCCAAACAATGAGGAGGCGCGGTGCGCAAAGTAGGGGAAATGTTGCGTGCGCAGCGGGAGAGCAGGACGGTGACTTCCAGAGGACGCCCGCAGCCGACCGGTGAACGCCGCCTTCCATGCGGAGCGTGTCGCTGTCCGACGCGCGTGTGGTGCTGAAATTCGGATGATGCTTGGCCGGCGGCTGCAGGGCTGCCGCTCCCTGCACTTCAACGAGGACAACGGCCGCTTCGTGCTGCTCGCCGTCCTCATCCTGCTGTACCTGCTGTGCGGCGCTGCGGTCTTCTCGGCCATAGAGAGGCCCTCGGAGCTGCGGGCTCACGGCCGCTGGAACGGGACGCTCCTCAACTTCAGCGAGACCTTCAACATCAGCCTGCGGGACGTCAACTCTTTCCTGCGGGAGTACGAGGCTGCCATCGCCGCCGGGATCCGGGCTGACGCGCTCAGACCCAGATGGGATTTTACAGGCGCCTTTTACTTTGTTGGAACTGTGGTGTCGACTATAGGTGGGTGATCCCCGCAGCGTGCACACATTTCCCCGAGCCTTGAGTTCACTTGCTTGCAGCCATGTTGCTCTGCCAGCAGACTTAGAAACACCAAGGACGCACGAGGCTTTAGCAAAGCAAAACCTATTTTAAGTTTGCAGGTAAGAAGTTAAGTCAAGAAAGAAAAAAAAAAAAACAGTTCAGAAAACGTTGGGGCATTAAATGTAAATAAAACAGAATGCAACGATGTGCAAACTCACATTTTATGAATGATAGAATTTAATAAACATATAAAATGCCAAAACTTAAAAAAAAAGTTTTATTTGTGGGGAGCAATAAAGTCATTTTGAATTTTAAGGCTGCACCACATCTCAAAAGTGAACATGTTTACCCCTCTTTTTTTTTTGCTAAAACAAACATCTAGGAATGAGGAAACCAGCTGATGAAGTATTTGGATGGAAATATTGTAATTTTCTTGTTTAAATTAGGGTTCTAGCTGTCCAACAGTCGGGGTTTCTTAGGAGAGAGGTCTGGACTGCAGGCAGGTCAGTTCAGCACCCAGACTCCTAAAATATACAGTTTTCAAAAAGACTTTAAAAGAAACATGTTCTGGATGGGAGCATACTGTATGTTGTCCTAAAACTGTTCTGCAGTGGTAGTGCGGGTATATCTGATGCACTAATGTACCACCATACAATCAGAGAGGCAGTTAAAAAAGTATACTCTAGGCCTGATGGTCCTTTTTTAATATAAAGGACGTGGTGTTCTTGGTTTCCAAAATGAGTTTCGGATTTTGTCAGTTCCAACGGCATCAACAGCTTATTTCCTGTTTTGTGTCATTGGTCTGATACAAGTTTTATTGTTGTACGTTGTTTAGTTTGTTCTTGGCTGCTACTTCAGCAGTTTCATTTATTAAACTCAACAAAGTTCAGTCAGGTCATCTGGACTTTTTTTTTTTTTTTTTGAGACATTTCGTCCTTCATCCAAAGGACTTCATCAGTCCGAGGAGCTGCAATAAACTCAGTCCCACACGCAGCACACTCACATACCAACCGGTTTGATGGTGATATGATGCTTTCTGGGGCTCGCCCTCTCCCCCGCCGACTCCTCTGAGGAAGACATAGTCAAAGTGCTTCAGAACATCAAAGTTCATGTTCAATGATCCAGATAAAAAAATCCAACAAATCCGTCCATTTGTTGGATTTTTAACCTGGATTATTGAGCATGAACTTTGATTTATTTATTAAAATTATTATTTAGTTATTTTCTGTTATGAGTGTTTATGTGTGTCTTCTTCACACACAAAACCTAATAGTTAAAAAAAAAAATGTTTGTAAGTCATGCATTACATTTAGGCTCTAATAGACTTTGGAAATGGGTCAACATCTGACTCATGTGCCATTTGGAAGGAGCACTCTCATCCCCAGTTATAGGACAGCACCCATGGGTGCAGTTTCCTTTTTTGGCCACATTTCCCTTCAAACTATCAGGAATGTCAATGAGAAGCCCCTTTCTACTCCCCCCGTTTAACATTTACTTGTGCAATAGGTCAGAAAAGAGCAAGCGTACCTCCCAGGGCAACCCGAGGGCCAGCGGTGTGATGTTCTGCATGCCTGATGGCTCCCACACCCACTGTCCCCCACCCATCTCCCACACCCTTAGACATCCAGAAAATAGCCACAGCAATCTGTGACTGAATTAATAAATGGACAAAAACACTCCAAGTAATAATCAGATCCGACAGCAACTCTGTCTCTGACCTTGCCCTAAAAGCATAAACAGATATGCAGTAAACAACGTCACACCCCCAGCTCCGAGTTTTAATTGAAAACGGCACACAGGCTGGAGGGAAACCGATGGTTTTGTGGGTTCTGACTACACAGAGGAAATTGATTTCATGTAAGCAGAAAACCTGTCACAACTTTATTTACTGTAGACCTGTCAGAGGAGCGGCACTGGCCCGCCCACCTTCCACTCTTAGACACACAAATGCACTCATAGCTCTCAGGCACTCGGGAGGGAACCACGGCAGCTTTGTTTGCTCACATGTCTGCAGCAGGTTGTTATCTTTCTGTGCTCTTCTTGTCACGCAGCATCACTGTCTTCCCCTGACAGGTGAACTGACTCAGCTGTTTGGGTGGAATGAGGAAATCAGGGTGATGCTGACAGTCTTTTTCCTTTCCCTTAGTTTTTATAGACGTGCATAAAATTCTTTCTGAGATTTTGTTTAGCTTTGATCTCCTCCACGACTCAATCCTCCGGCTTGCGTGTTAATTTTTCAGCATGCTTGCGAGCTGCTGATATATAAAGGGGATTTGAGGAGCTCCCCACATCACTCTTTATCAGAGCGGCATCCCCCCCGTGCACTCTGGACACTCCTCCCAAATGTTTCCTGTCTCTAACTCTGCTCTGCCAGAGGCTTCAAACTAGTGGTAACTCTTTGCTCCCCTTGATGTGCCTCTGCAGCATCACTTTGAAGAATGAAAGTGCAGCTCTGACCACATGATGATGATGTTTATCAGGGGGGTTTACTGTGACTCAGTGGCCGTTAGCGCTTTTACCTTTGCATTGTTTAACTGTGGTCTGAATGCCTGCAGAACTGACCATGTTTAGCTTTTACAAGTAGGAATTAAAACAGGGAAGTTTGACGTATGTTGTGTCCATTTCCTTTGAATAAGTAATTCTAACTTAAAGTTTAATCCAAAGGTAAACTGTTTGGCCAAGTACACACTAGAGTTGAATAATCACGCAAGATATTTGTTACTTCCTTAAACATAGGGGATTTCAACAAAGGTGCATATTCACTTTTACGTGCTTGTTTTAAAACTAGCCACAACAGTTTTAACACAGAGGTGGAAAGGGAGGCACTGATCGCATTATAGGCAACATTTTTAACCACAGTTTGCTGATTAAAAGCCTTGCTGTTGCTGGAGTTTTTGAAGGATATTGTTGTCCCGTTATCTGATGTAGGACTGTAGCTGTTCAGCAGTCATCGGTCTTTGATGGAGTTATTGATGGATATGAACAAATGCTGTTCCAAAATCTGTATGTGACAAGAACCAGGGTTTTTGGACTCAGAAAACAGCCAGACACAAAGAGTGTGAAACCAAAGAAAACAGTTTTATTGATATTGGCTGCTGGGTGGGGAGTCGGGATCCAGCTGCGAAGTGCAGCTGAAGTAGTGCTGTGACAACCGTGACCAGAGGGTTACTCCAGAGACCAGGTCCAGGCGTAGAGGTGGGGGTCATGCACGGGGAGTCAGAGTTCCAATAACAAATCCAAAAGGGCAAACCGTAATCCAGAATCCATAGGCAGAAAACCATAGATGAACCAGGGTCAGATGGGCAGGGCAGAATCAGACGAAGAGCAGGCAGAGCGGTAAATCCTGAAGATGAGGCGTGAGGTCAAAACCCAAAGATCAAAGCGTGAATGTCAGGCATGAAACAAGATGGCTGGATAACAGGAACCACGAAAAGGCTGATAATAGTCTCGAGAAGACTGTTACATTTTTGAATGATTTTCCTAAAAAGCTTTCTTTTTTTGCACGATAGTGTTCCTGAGCCCAAGCAGGAATGTACATGACAGAAGCAGACCTGTTGCTAATGCAGCAACCCCTGAGGGACCAGAGACAATGAACATTCAGCCTTGTTTTTGATTAGAGATTTCTACTTATTTTTAAATCTTCTGATAGTTTTATGAACTGTAGATGATGGAGCATTATTCTTAAATCATTCCACTATTTTTAGATACAGTTTATTGCAGACTGGTGAACCCCTGCCCATCTTTACTTCTGAGAGATTCAGCTTCTCTGAAATGCTCTTTTTATACCCAGTCCTCTCACTGATCTTAGTCTCAGCAGTTGATTTGTTTACTCTGTTCTATTGCTAATAAAATGTAGGTTTATGAGATTTGTAAAACAATGTATTCAGTTTTTGTGCATATTTTACATGGCATGCCATCTTTAAAAAAAAAAAAAACTGGAACGATAATAATCAATTTTAAAGTTTTGTTTTCCTCAAAAACCTAACCAGGGACAAATATTTCAATGCTGTAAATTTCCATCAAGACATCTAATCACTCTCAGCTGTAGACCTGTTGACACCGAAGCCTTTCAGCTAACAACTAAAGAGGAAATATTTTTCCATGTGACTGCCATGTTAGCCTGTCTGTCGACCAGGATAATGATTCCCCAAAGCGCCATAAATGCCTAATGACATTGGTAGTTCTCTATTTTTCCTCCAGTGCTTTGAGCAGCGTTGATTATTCAATTATTAATCATGGTGTTCAACCTAGTGGGCCAGACTTCTGCTGTAGACAATCCGGAGACAATCCATAACATCTGGCTTCAGTCTAGTTTTTTTCTCCAGTTGTGATGCAAAGCTGATCTTATTATGGCGCATACGTGAACATGTTCGGAAGCCATTGTTGAAAACTTTTGTTATACCCTACTGTAAAACTGACTGTATTTGTGTGTATGCTGACGAGGGGTTTGGGTCACAGGGCCTGACACACATATACAACTTAGAGCCTGGCAAAATGATTTGCTTTGTGACTGAATTTTTACAAGCTTTGAAAGAATCCAGGTTCCACATTTTTATCTCTGTGATCCATCACTGTAACCATTGAAAGATGTGATTGGTTACATGCATGTATCAGTACATAGATACTGTCATACAATACTGGCACAAGATGCAGTTCTGAGATGGTTCACAAATAACCTGACAGTAAGAACTAAGGTCCATCCATCCATCCATCCATCCATCCATCCATCCATCCATCCATCCATCCATCCATCCATCCATCCATCCATCCATCCATCCATCCATCCATCATCTTCCGCTTGTTCTGAAGTCAAGTCGCAGGGGCAGCAGCTTGAGCAGGGAGCCCCAGACATCTCTTTCTACTGCCAGCTCTTCTGGGGTACTCCAAGGCGTTCCCAGGCCAAACGAGAGACATAGTCTCTCGTGTCCTGGGTTTTCCTCGGAGTCTACTCCCAGTCAGACATGCACGAAGCACCACCC